TGGGACTAAGTCCCAGTCTACAATAGATGATTTAAGCCCTAAGCTTTAAGAAATTGGCCAATCACGGTCAAGTATGAGTAGAATGCGCGACTGTGATTAGTCAATTTCTTAAGGCTTAGGGCTTAAATCTCTATTGTAGACTGGGACTTATGTGTCTGACGAAATTGACCAATCGCAGTCGATTATTCTTACGACTACGACTCTACGACTCGCATTGTAGACCACGCCAAAAATGTGTGCACTGAGGATCCGGCATTACGCCGTTCACCGTCGCGCGCTTGAGCACGCCGCCGTTAGGTCGCCCGCGGAAAGGAACATGGCGACGGTGACGGGCTGGTGACAATCTGATATGGGATGGGCGTCGCGCTAAACGTAGGAACGCAGAGCTTTTTTTTCTCCCGCCGTAATGATAATGAGTGGTGATACCGCGGCGCATAAACATGGCGATCATTTGACACCGCAGTCGTCCTCCGATCCAGACGAGTCGCCGATAGACGTGTCGATGCTTGCTGCTGTTGATCGTGCGGGGGTAGCGATACCGTTCGGTCCAGCCTAACGTTGCCCGCGGTATTACGCACGGGTCGGCCTCCGGCGAAGCCCGCGGAGACCGGCGAGGAGATCGAATTGGAGTATCCCTCGTGGCAGCGCCGCGTCATCTTGCCGAGTGGCGCGTCTGTGGAACCTTTCCGGGGCCCGGAGGCTGCGACGCAGCATCGAAAGGAGGAACGACGCGCGTCACTCGCGCTAAGATGGCCCGGGAGTACGATCATCTGTTCAAGCTGCTCATCATAGGAGACAGCGGTAAATATACGTAGGCGCGCGCCGAGTCGTCCGCGGTTGACGTACGAACCCCTCGATCGTCGTAAGTCGCGCTTCTCTCCTGCGCTTCATGCATAACCTTTGTTTCTGTGTCGCTATTTCTCTCTCTCTTTGTCTCTGTGTCTCTCCCCCCTCTTTCCCCCTTTTCTCTCGTAAATTTCACGTTTCCGGATGCGGAACGTGTAAAAAAAAAAACAACATTGCGGCGAGTGTTGTGCCGCGAGCGTCGCCGTGCCCGTCGTCGGTGCGAGTCGCTGATCGCCTGTCATTACGCACTTTTAGCGGCGGTTTATTAAATGATGAGCCCGACAATAGATGCACGTCGGGCTATCCATTACTACGCGCGCGCGCGCGCGCGCCCGCCTGGATTTCATGATGCGAAAATTGTTCTTCCTGCACGACGGATTTAGAACGGCGGTAGAAGATAATGCATCACGTTACAATAATGGGGAGCTAAAAATAAAGAGACTAAATAGAAGAGAGAGAGAGAGAAATTATATAGGATTAAATTGCCCTACTTAATTTAGCGTGGATAGAAGTAATTAACTGTTTGATAAAGCATCTCCTGTATTGGAATAATGTGGAAACTTGAAGGCATTTGACATTATTAACTTATTTTTCATGTGCTTATTTTTCTGTTTACGCCCCCCCCCCCACCCCCTTCTCTTTCTCCCCTTCTCCCTCACTGTTTCTGTTTCTTTGATGCTGATTGTATCTACCTTGACACGGCTAAAAAGTTTACATTCTATTTAATTCAATGTAGATAGTACAGTAGTTTTAATTATGTGATACAAAACGTCTCTCTGGCATTGGAGAAATATGGAAACGTGTGTTTGTCATGGAGTAATTCTACGACAGAAATATTTGTCCAATTTTTACCCTGTTTAAACAATGGATTTACAGGCACGTAAATACAAAAGTACATTTCTTTCTGTCTCTCTTAAGGTGTAGGCAAAAGCTCGCTGCTTCTGAGATTCGCTGACAATACCTTCAACGGCAGTTACATAACTACGATAGGGGTGGACTTTAAGATACAAACTGTGGAGGTAGACGGCGAGCGGGTGAAGCTGCAAATTTGGGACACCGCTGGACAGGAACGTTTCCGGACAATAACTTCAACTTACTATAGGGGGACGCATGGCGTTATAGTTGTGTATGATGTGACCAGCGGTGATACGTTCGCGAACGTTAAACGGTGGTTGCACGAAATCGAACAGAATTGTGATGTGGTTAACAGGGTACTAGTAGGGAATAAAAATGACGCACCTAATCAGAAGGTGGTGTTAACGGAAGACGCGCAGAGATTCGCCAATCAAATGGGGATCCAGTTATTCGAAACTTCCGCTAAGGACAACATCAATGTCGAGGAGGTATGCGTCACGTTGAGTTTTCCCTTGTTAACTCGTAAAAGAAACTTGAAAATGTTTCACGATTGTCTCTTCATTGTACTGGCAATAAGACTACTTCATACAGGTTGAAAAACACTTAGGTTTGAGCTAAATTAGTGTATACTGCGTTACACCTCGCCGCGAATTAACTGGAATGCGTTACTTACAGATGTTCATGGCAATAACGCGGCAAGTGTTGCGGACCAAAAAAGAGCGTAAGGAGCGGCAAGCCATACAGACTAATGAGACGGTCAACTTGAGGAAAAGCACAAAACAGTACAGGAAAAAATGTTGTTAGCGAGCGTTGTATAAGCACGCTACTCCCTGTAAACTGAAATATTCTTTGATACGATAATTAGGGCAGAATAAAACAGAGAGCATGTGTTAGTATTACGAGCGGACATGAGACGCTGGAAACCCTGATATTTTCTAACACTGAGTTTTGTATTCCAATTACGATACCTAAGATTGTATCCTAACTAAAGTATACCTTTTTTTGACGTTAGTATTTAACATAATAGAATCGAAATGTCGAACGAGCGCGTAGGGCTTATTTAGTGAAAACGATCGTCTATGCGGCATTCTTTTTTAATGTGTATAATGCATCAAATACTTGGCTGCGCTGATGAACAAAGGCCTATATTCATTTTGTAATATTTACGGACGGGTAACTCTTTACTCACATATACATGCATATATTCAAAGCCATCGTTTTACACACACGTTTTATACACAAACGCGTTTCACATTATGTAATCGTTAAACGAAATTAACGAACATCCCCCCCCCCCGCTAAATTTGCTAGGGTCATATTGATCATTGTAAAATTTTGCTGCATTCAACAATGAGTTACCATATGCTAAATAAGTCGTGTTTAGAGAAAGTAGGATTAAAGTTTCTTGAACAAACGAGCGACAAATATTGTTAGCTGGTCCAAATAATTCTTAGGACGTTTTAGTAAAATTAAGGTTCCTGTAGTTTGATGACGCTTTCAATACGATCTAAAAGATTCAATTGCATAGAATGGATTAATGATATCACAAATAATGGGTGTAGAAAAGAAGACCGCTGTACGGAAACTACAAAAATTCGCTTGGTCATGTGAAATTCAATATACTTCCTGTCGTAAGACTGTCGTAAAATTTAAAGACTAATCAATATGATTTATTTGCAATATCCACGTTTACAATATGTATTTTATAAAATTTTATAATTAGCTATATATATATATAATTAATTATAAAAATTTTAGAATTGATGGAATCTGAGCGTCTAATTTGTACATTAAACAATATTTAAAAGCACATTTTTTAAAAAAGTTTTAAATAATACTTAAAAATCGTCGATCTTCTTTCTTCTAATTTGTTTAGAACGATGAATTGCTAGCCAAAAAGTGTCGGTTATCTGTTATTACTTCCAAGAAATGTTGAAATGCACGCGCAGTGTTTGCGTCGCGTGCATCATTAAATATGCATTAATAAAACATTGAACAGTATTATCTAATTTTTTAATTTCGCGTACGAATCTAACGTTCCTTCAATGGCTCTGTAACCGAGGGAAAGACGAAAAAGCTTGTAAACGTCCGAATTTTATATATACTCAAATACCGCAGGTATTTTGAATTGTCCATGCATTTGCGACGAACACATACATGTATACACACATACGCGATTAAATATTTATTGCAGAGGGGTAGATAGCAAGAAGATAAAACGTAACGATCGGTCATGTCCAGCTATGACAGAAGCTGTCTGTATTAATCTGTGATAATAGTTAAGACAATGTCGCCAGCTGCCACTGTAATACTGCTGCGTGTACCTACTCCCCGCTCCCGTCTAATTGTTGTAATTAATATCGTTATTATTTCTCTCCTTTTCTTTTTTTTTCTCTTTAGTACCAATTACATATCTCCCTTAGAGGCAATAAAGCGACATCCTACAATGTGTACATATTCTCAACTTGCCAGTTTTAGTGGCATATTCACGAAGTATTTCAATCGATTATATTCAATCTTGTTTACTGTTATACAGTTACAATGTTGTAATATTATTATACGTATACGTATGATTATAAATAAATAGGAGTCTACATGTATACGTATCGAGCAAGTATCGCCTTCACCCCCCGCCCTCGCTTGCCTTTTACTCCAGTTAAACGTGCGTATTTTTCACGCGATGCCTGAGATATGTAAAAATCGAACGAAATTCGCGTACGTACAGCCGACCCAGAGCTACGTTGTTTGATCGATTCGGGCTTCAAGATTCGACTCCTCGACGTATTGAATCTAGGTGCTTGAGCTCAAGTTTGAATCGAGCAAGTATATGTACGTTCGCGCATGAAACATAATAACAATAAGGATTTTTAATTCGCGGTCGGGTTTCTCGACCAGCGGAAACTCGACAGGGTACTATTTAAAACGCGTTATCTCTTATTTGTGCGCGAAGAGAGATACCGGTACACACTCGTGACCTGTTGTTGCTGACGTTACTTACGAGAGTAACGTACGATTTCGAAATTCACGATACGACTACGTGGAGCTACCTAGGTATACGCAATACAATCCAGATATTCACGCAGAGCGAAGATAAAGTAGGCTCAATAAAATACCAAATAAGCAACGTTACAAGGTATTTTCAAGAGAGCCACGCGAGTGCTATTGTATATAATTGTAATTATTCCCAAGACTGTACACTTGCGTGTCCTTTTTTTTTAACGAATCTAATAAAGTAACCCGAGAAACAGCTTTACGAGCGTGGAGTATCGGCGCTGCTATTTTTACTCTATTCTCTATTCGTAGAAAATAGCGCAACTATAAAAAGATTTATATACTATTACTTCATTCGCGAGATTTCGTATAACGGCGTTCTCGCTTTTTACGTGTAACTTTTCGCGTCCGTCATCCTTTTTTTTACAGCGTATTTTACAGCGGAGAATTATTACTGCCATTATATCATCATTTTACTTTGCAGCTGAACATTGTTCATAAGAAAAACTGCCGATCTTTCTAGATGGTGTACGCTATTATGAAAACGTATAATCCGCGCGCTTTGCTACGCAACGTGCAAACAGCTTTCCTCTCTTAATATTAGATTAATAAAAATTTATCCGATTCGTCCGCGCGCGAGAACAGCGAAACGGCCCCGTTGTACTTGCAATTGTTCCGCGTATAATGAATACGAGCCGCGGTGTGTTGCGTCGATCGAACGAATATCTAGAATAAATTAAAGTATCCCGCTCAGGCTTGTGAAATTTCTTGCGAGTTTCAGGGGCGAATCGAGCGGTGCGAGTCTCGCGTGCTCTCTCCCGTTGATCGCATATCGATTGCTTCTGCCTCTCGATAAAGCTGTAAGTTCCCTTGGCGAAAATCGATTGACAAGAAACTGACGAGTAGACACTTTGGTTTCACCCAACAGAAATGCCGTTACCGCTTTAATTCGGTTAGCCGGATATAAATTCATTCCGGCCCCCTCGTTCGACTCGGATCCACCGTGTATTTCCACCTGCGTGTTTCCACCGCAATTAAAAAGGAGGAAGGAAACAACTCGAGGCCCGTTAACGATAAAATAACTTGAATAACACCGAAATAATGTAACAACGCCGTTTGAACTCTATTTAAATATAACGACTCTAAATCGAGAGCGGCACCGTAGTGTCTTGGCTCGAGTTTCAACGCAAGGTATCTGAATTTCTCTGAGTGACGTCCGATTTCAACGGAGAAACGTAAGGAAGGCACTCTCGCGTGATTGTTGATCGATCAGCGGCCTTCGAGCCCGTGGAATTCGGAGCTCATGACAACCGATGTAAGAAATCGACGTAAACACTGCGCCACAGTTTCTAGAATCTCCGAAATATTTCTGGGACACCTTTTGCTCACGGCATTTCCGAAACAAACGTAAATTTTCCAACGAGTCAATAACATAAGAAGCTTAGCAAGCTCGTCGCTCGTTGCGTACAATTGTCACTTCTTCACGCTCATTACGTGCCTCGGCTGGATCGAAGTGCCGAACGCGCTGACGCTTCGAATTTGCAGCACGATTCTGCAATTCCATTAATTAGCGTGCAAATTGTCTCGTAAGTCGTTGTGGAACGGCCGCTTAAATATCTCGTCCGAAATTCGTGCCCGAACGCGAGCGGATATTAATCTCTCGCACGATCCAACGAATAATTTCCTTCAGATTGTATTCCTTAATTGTACCCCGGCTGTGGTATTATTTTTCGCAATGGACTTAAAATTAAGATTATTTAGACACTAACATCCTGTCTTGGCTCTTGAACAAACATGAGTTAAACTAAGATTGAAATTAAGCGACGTTTATTACTTACTCCTTTGTTACTTCGTATTTGTGTTTTCACATTAGTGCCTTATGAATTTTACTGATCGTTTAATTATTATGTATCGCTTGTTATTCGTTTATCGCACAACTTATTGTGCTTTGCGTCGCCAATAATGTTCTAGGAACGTACATTTAGATTCAGGGCTACGTCCTAAAATCTTCTTCCCCGAGAAATGTTCGATGGTGATTCCGAAACCATTTTGAGCGTTTCCAATCCATTTCTCAGGTAAAATTTTCCTCATAGAAAACGTTTTGGCACGTAAACCCATAGTGGTCAATTCTGTATCCTACACTATAGTGAACGTGCTAAAAGTGAATAGCTTTGGCTTTTTCTAGCCGTCCCCTTAGACAGAGACAGTGCCGCTCACTTTTAGCACTTTCACTACGGTTTGTTATAATATTAGGGATTGACCCCCTGAACCTAAGTGTGCGTCCCTAAATTCATTTAAAAAGAAGCGACGCAATTCTGTCCATCTCTGTACGCTGGGAAGAATCGACAGAGTCCATATTAAGGTAGGCCGGAAATCCGAGTACAAAATAAACGACGGATAGGGCTGATATTGCATTTGCCGTACGGTAATTTGGCTGCGGGACGCAGAAAAGTCTTCCGAGCATCCGAAAGTGCTCTGCCGCGCAGCTAGTCAACACGATGGAAAAATGGCAAATGTAACGCAATACCCTTAGGGCGGTTGTCTCGACAGGTCTCGACAGACCCGAATCTTTCAGGGTCTCGAGCATGAATCCTTTCCACAAACGTGGACTTGTGAAGAGTGAAAAGTTTCCCGGGCAAATGTTAAATACGTTAATCAAATCTTTCACGCTGTAGGACAAGATTCGTGATCGAACCCAGGAATTTAAGTTTCCGAAGACGAAAGCAGTAGCCGTGTGCGTGATCGTGTCTCGTCGAAAGAAATATAAACACGCAAGAAAAGAGAGAGAGAGAGAGAGAGAGAGAGAAAGAGAGAAAGGGGGGATGGGGAGAAACAGAAGAATGTGACACTCGCGATCGTGTCGAGGATTAAACGTTATTCGGTATATCGAGCGCGAATCGGCGGCGGCATTCCGGGATTTCGGCAAGCGAGGCTAGTCCCACGCGCAAATGTGGTCCGGGGTGTACGATGCGCGCCGTGTGTCTCACCCTCACCCCCGGCCCTTCCCGCCCTCCCACCACGCAACGAAAACTTAAAAATGCCGCCGCAGCGCAACCCGAATCGATATTCGCCGGTGCCGTCACGTGGCACGGTTTCGTGCCGCGCGGGCCAATGGGCGGCCGCGGCGAGCGTAGCTCGCTCCGCCTGTGCTCCACGGGCCGACGACACGACATCTGCGTTCGGGTAGGCGGAACAACAGTCCGCGGCTGGTAGCGCACCGGTTCACAGTAGGCGATGTTCCGCTCTGCGGGCGGTCCACGTTAAGTGACCCCGACGACACACGGCGCACATCGACGTCAACGGGCGTTGAACATCAGCAGCGGCGACGACGACGACGACGACGACGGCGGCGCCGGTGAGCAGACTGCGAGGACGACGTCGACGAGGTCGACACGTGAACGCGCGAGGGGCAGCACTACGCGCTGTCGCTCGCAACGCTGTCGCCCCTTTCGGCACGCGTACATTACACGCGCGTCGTACGTGTACGTCCGTGCGGTGCCCTATCGTCCGCCGGAAGAAGCCCGCGACTCGCGGCTCGTAAGCGACCCCGTATTTACTCGCGTATACCCGTCGCCAGTGGTTGTCTCGCGTGCAAAAAAAAGAGCCAGTCGGTCGCGGCCACGGAACAGAGTGAGAGAGTAGAGGAAGTGACTGTGGCGTGCGCGACGGAGATCGAGAGCGCGAGTAGTGCCGAAGGGACGAGGTGGGGCAGGCTGGTGTAAGGAGGAGAGGAGGAGCGTGGGAGCGAGACAGGCGCAGCGGGAGACAGACAGACAGACAGAGAGAGAGAGAGAGAGAGAGAGAGAGTGAGTGAGACCGCGCGCGCGAATGAGAGGGCGGGGGAGCGAGAGAGCGAGGCGGCGGTAAGGAGGTACCCGAGGAGTCCAGACGGTACGCGATATGGTGTTTCTATATGTGCCGCGCGCGAGAGAATGGTGCCCGCGTGAAAAGTAACTCTCTCGGACGTGAGCCGCGCGACGCCAACGTCGGCGTGACGGCGTGCACGCGAATAAATACCAGGCGCGGAGTGTCGCGTCTCCTGCCGCTCGGTATATCTCGGCGGTTTCTCCGCGGTCGATCGCGAGGATAAATCCCCCACCTCCGGGTGTCCACCGCGTCGTGGATCGCGATCCGTACCGTCGCGTCGACGCGGCGATACCGTCGCGGCGGCCGCTGCGTAGCGCGGCGATCGACAGTCGCGATCGATATCGGGATTCACGCGCGCGCGTCTGTGGGTGCGCGTATATCATACCGGATACGTGCCGCGGTACGTGCGCGCGCGCGCGCGCGTTCGCTCGCGCGGAAAAACTCTTATTATGCGACTACCGAAGTCGCGCCATAACCGCGAGCGGCGGGGATCGGATTAACCGGGACGCGGAGAAGCGGCGGCGGAAGAAGAGGAGGAAGAGGAGGAAGAAGAAGAAAGGTTTCAAGATAGAGGGAGATAATCACCGCGACGGACAAGGGCACGACGAGCGCTCGACGGTCGCTCGCTCGTCGTCGGTTGCCGCGGCGGAGTCGCTGCGCGTAAGGCTTCGCCGCGCGGCAGCCGCGTCGGCGGCGGCGACGGCGACGACGACGACGGCGGCGGCGGCGGCGACGGCGCCGACGACGACGACGGGGTCGCGTTACGACGAGCACGACGACGCGGCAACAGACGACGACGACGACGACAGCGACGACGACATGGAGGAGAGCCAGCTGCTGATGACGGAACTTCCGGCGCCGTTGACGCCGAGCACCGGCCGCGGCACGACGTTGCTCCACCGTCCCGGCCACTACTACCACCTGCACCAGCCGCACCTGGCGATACCGACGTCGCAGAACCAGGCGATACTCCAGCACAACTCCGGCGGCACGGCGCCGCATTACGGCACCGACAGCAATGGCGCCTGCGGCGGCGGCGGGGGCGGCGGTGGC